AAAATGCAAGGTTAACCCCTTACAATTTTAAATTTCCAAGAAAAATCAAATTTTGCCCAATTTTGATGAAAATGCAAGGTTAACCCCATTCAATTGTAAATTTCCCAGAAAAGTCAAAATTTGCCCAATTTTGATGAAAATGCAAGGTTAACCCCTTACAATGTTAAATTTCCAAGAAAAATCAAATTTTGCCCAATTTTGATGAAAATGCAGGGTGAATTCCTTACAACTTTAAATTTCCTAGAAAAGTCAAATTTTTCCCAATTTTGATAAAAATGCAAGATAACCACTTACAATTCAAATTTCCCAGAAAAGTCGAATTGTGCCCAATTTTGATGAAAATGCAAGGTTAACCCCATACAATTTCGAAGTTGCCGGAAGAGTCAAATTTTGCCCAATTTTAAGGAAAATGCAAGATTTAGCCCTTAAAATTTTTAATTTCTCAGGAATGTCAAATATTGCCCAATTTTGATGAAAATGCAAGGTTAACCCCTTACAATTTCAAATTTCCCAGGAAAGCCAAATTTTGCCAATTTTGATGAAAATGCAAGCTTTAACCCATTCAATTTTAAATTTCCCAGAAAAGTCAAAATTTGCCCAATTTTGATGCAAATGCAAGGTTGACCCCTTGCAATGTTAAATTTCTAAAAACTCAAATTTGCCCCATTTTGATGAAATTGCAAGGATAGCCCCTTACAATTTTGAATATTCCAAGAAAAGTCAAATTTTGCCCAATTTTGATGAAAATGCAAGGTTAACCCCTTACAATTTTAAATTTCCAAGAAAAATCAAATTTTTCCCAATTTTGATGAAAATGCAAGGATAACCCCATTCAATTGTAAATTTCCCAGAAAAGTCAAAATTTGCCCAATTTTGATGAAAATGCAAGGTTAACCCCTTACAATTTTAAATTTCCAAGAAAAATAAAATTTTGCCCAATTTTGATGAAAATGCAAGGTTAACCCCATTCAATTGTAAATTTCCCAGAAAAGTCAAAATTTGCCCAATTTTGATGAAAATGCAAGGTTAACCACTAACAATTTCGAAGTTGCCGGAAAGTCAAATTTTGCCCAATATTGATGAAAATGCAAGGTTAACCCCTTACAATTTTAAATTTCCAAGAAAAATCAAATTTTTCCCAATTTTGATGAAAATGCAAGGATAACCCCATTCAATTGTAAATTTCCCAGAGAAGTCAAAATTTGCCCAATTTTGATGAAAATGCAAGGTTAACCCCTTACAATTTTAAATTTCCAAGAAAAATCAAATTTTGCCCAATTTTGATGAAAATGCAAGGTTAACCCCATTCAATTTTAAATTTCCCAGAAAAGTCAAAATTTGCCCAATTTTGATGAAAATGCAAGGTTAACCCCTTACAATATTAAATTTCCAAGAAAAATCAAATTTTTCCCAATTTTGATGAAAATGCAAGGTTAACCCCATTCAATTGTAAATTTCCCAGAAAAGTCAAAATTTGCCCAATTTTGATGAAAATGCAAGGTTAACCCCATTCAATTGTAAATTTCCCAGAAAAGTCAAAATTTGCCCAATTTTGATGAAAATGCAAGGTTAACCACTTACAATTTCGAAGTTGCCGGAAAGTCAAATTTTGCCCAATATTGATGAAAATGCAAGGCTAACCCGTTACAATTTTAAATTTCCTAGAAAAATCAAATTTTTCCCAATTTTGATGAAAATGCAAGGTTAACCCCATTCAATTGTAAATTTCCCAGAAAAGTCAAAATTTGCCCAATTTTGATGAAAATGCAAGGTTAACCCCTTACAATATTAAATTTCCTAGAAAAATCAAATTTTGCCCAATTTTGATGAAAATACAGGGTGAATTCCTTACAACTTTAAATTTCCCAGAAAAGTCAAATTTTTCCCAATTTTGATAAAAATGCCAGGATAACCACTTACAATTCAAATTTCTCAGAAAAGTCAAATTTTGCCCAATTTTGATGAAAATGCAAGGTTAACCCCATACAATTTCACAGTTGCCGGAAAAGTCAAATTTTGCCCAATTTTAAGGAAAATGCCAGATTTAGCCCTTACAATTTTAAATTTCCCAGGAATGTCAAATTCTGCCCAACTTTGATGCAAGGTGTTTCCCCATATAGTTGTGTAAAAGAAATCGCGCATTAGCAAACGGGGTTTCCAACGTTTAGGATTGTCTATCGTCTCTGGCCGAAAGCGAATCTTCAAGCAAATGAGCTTCCTATTATGCAGTCATAGGGTAATAAAACTGGCCGTTACTCCGTGGTGATCGATGAACTCATCACATCGTTAATTTTCTGACGGCCATCGATCGATCTGCAGCTTGACTATCATATGGGAAAAGAAACTGCCATCAGTTATCGCCAGTAATAAAACGCGTTCTGCATTGTGATAGCCTTGGTAACACACTACGCGTCAACCAATTTAAGAAGACCATGGGGAAATGTGCTCAACACCCAGCCCTCGCGACACTACACTGTTAATTTCGCCACGAAAACACACAGCACCACTTCCGAACTTTCGCCAGTTAAAAAAAAAATGATGAGACATTATCCAACTACAGTATATGGTTACGGACCAGTAAATAAACTTCCATAGACCCAAATGGTAAATGCTCCCACTTCAGAAATTTGGGAAAAATACTCACAACTCACAAGGTGTTCGAGACACACATCAAATTAAAGCTTATTTCATCATCTTTCATTTTCTTTTCAATTTTCGGGGGGTCAACTAATGACTTTTAGGAGAAATGTCCATCCGAAGACGATCACTCCTAAAAATAGTCCTGAAGCCCATCGCCATTTTGAAAAACGATGCCTACACTATATTGCAAAATAGAGCGCTTTAAGGGCCCAAATTTCATCCAAATTGAACGGAACTATAAGTTCACAGTCCTGTGCACGGCTTCCACCCATATTGTTTGCAAACCCTCAAGTTCATGGCCCACAGCATGCTCAAATACTGAAGATTTTGAGGGCATGCAAATCGTGATTTGGCCGGCGTGGGCAATTTCGGACCGATTTACTGGTCTGCAACCATATCGCTCACGTCACCATTTGAAAGTATAACCATACTCTTACTAAAGGCCCTACAAGGTGAGTAAAAAAAACCCCGAAACCCAAATGTCTGGACTATTGTTTTAGTGAAGTTCTGCATATAGCACTTTCAAAATCTAGGAAATGAAAACCCAAATAGGCCTAAGACGTAACGACGTCACGCTTTGTTTACATGTGTGCGCTTTGAGAGCCAGGCGATGCGCGTCCCACCTGGCGCTCATAGGAAAGCACACATGTAAACAAAGCGTGACGTCATTACGTCTTAGCACCATTCTTCATAAGCTGTCTTTTAGCAGAAGAATCAATCAAATCACGCATGTACTTTTCAAGGAAATTTAAACACAACCACCGTTTTACAGTTCTGTCCATGAATCACAAAAAGGTGTGCGTTCTTTCAGTGAAACCCAAACAATTCTTATGTGATTTGTGTTGGTTTTGCTGAAAGAACACTTATTATAGGTTTTCTCGGCCAAGTTAGCAGATTTGGAGGCCAAATTGGTGACCAATCATTCATTTTCGCACGAATTTGAATGCACGTGGAGATCAACATTTAATTACCTAAAAACACCAATCAATTTAACATTTGAAGCATGCGATTTCACATTTTAATCATGCAATTTTAACAACATGGGCATTCAAATTAAAATTGCACAAACGAGCATCCAAATTCGCCGGAGCTTCCAGCTGTGTAAGTTTGGTCATTCAAATTCACCATTAAGCAGCCATTTGTGAAAAGTAAGCAAATGAATTCGAAATAGGTTTATGTCATTCCGTTGTTTGTTAGAATTAGATGGAGCGCCTTTGTTCCAATTTGGAAGTATGGATATAAAAACCTGTCTCCAAAAAGATTCTGCCAATACTCTGATCACCGTGCACACTGTTAGCTTGAAGCACTAGAAATATCAACATGGCAGCTTATGGGCGTTATATGAGAATTTCAAATGTAGATGCTTGGCACGGCAAGAGATCGATGGCTACAGATCTGCAGGAGACAGTATCCTCATCATTCCAAAATAAAGAGAGACAAAAAGGGACTTTAAGATGATTAAGCATCTAAAAAGTTAAAGAGATATAAACAAATGTATATAACCAAGATCACAATTGAAAACAGAAGATCAAAAACCCAAAGATAAAGAATTAAGAACATATAGATTTATGTGAACACGATAAAAAGAAGGGAAAACATCACCTAAGTTTACTGTTGCCTATAGGTTTGTTGTTTCATGTATTTAGTTATGCCCCCTTTTTGTTTAATTTGTTTACATTTTTACTTTTTTAGAATAAAGAGACAGATAGTAGACACTTTGAAAAAATGAAACGGAAAAGCAGAAATGATAAAAAGGTGGAAGAAATAAAAAGACTCGCGTCGTATGCCTTCGTATTATTTTAATTTTTTTGAATGCAAAAATTGCTAAATAGAATGCACGGAAATGAAAAAAGAAATCACGAATCTCATGCAAATAACCCTCGACCAAACCGACTGCTAAATTGAATGATCACTTAAACCGAATGACATAACTTCAATTTAGGATGAGTTAAACATGAAAATGTCAGGTCTTTAAACGAATTTGAACGCCTGAAATCTAATACGAACCACGGGAATGTCAGCAGGGCGCTACTCCGCTTCAAATTGGCCACTATAAAGATGGATTCGAATGCTACTTTTGCGAAATTGGCCGGGAAAACCTATATATATTTATTGTTGTTCATAACGGGGGTAAACTTATTAAATGCACTTTTTAAGTTTCTGTACGTCTCTAACCAATGCATTAATTGTACTGGAAAAGCAGGAAGTGTCAAAATACTTTATAAATTGCAAACATTTGTAATTATAAACATGCGCCGTTAGGCGCCACAAGTTGTTGAAATCCCCCTGAGGTACAATGGACGCGTCCATTGACCCTTCGTACGTGTGGTACACAGTCATCGCCCCTCCCTCCACCTTGCGACGCCCATGAACACAAATAAATAATTTTGACGCCCTTAGTAGCTTGACTTTCTGGTCTGCTCTGGTCAATCGAGAAATGATATGTAGTTGTGTGCAGGCAATCACCGTATATAATGCGCGTATCAGTTCCAGAGCAACGATGAAGCTATCTCGTCATTTATTCTCCACGCGCTAGCGATGATGAGACGCTCATGCTCGTAGTATAATCATTATCTGATCCCAATTCGGCCACAATGTCTTGGAGGAAAATCTTTGGTTTGTGTTGGAGAACCAAAGACGCTTGGGTCCTGTCGTTAATGATTCAGGCTTGCTGCTTGCAAAATGTTCGTTGTGGTTTGCAAGGTAAGACAACATTTAAATTTCTATCAACCCCTACACTGTAAAGTGTTATAGAGTTTAAACACTTAATGTACCCCCTTTTTATTCATACGTTTATTCTAACACGCGTTTAGTATGAAGCCCGGGAAGGGACAGGGTGGAATTTTTTTTTGGCGTTTGCTAATTCGTTCGCACGAATTACTAATTCGTTCGCACGAAATCCTAATTCGTTCCCACGAAATCCTAATTCGTTCGCACGAATTATTAATTCGTTCCCACGAATTACTAATTCGTTCCCACGAATTGCTAATTCGTTCCCACGAAATCCTAATTCGTTCGCACGAATTGCTAATTCGTTCGCACGAATTACTAATTCGTTCGCACGAATTACTAATTCGTTCCCACGAATTACCAACTTGTTCCCACGAATTACTGGCACGGCACGTTCCCGGATCCATGAGATATAGATGTATGGGGGACCCCCGTGCACCCCAAGAACTTAACTTTCACCAATATTTGGGGTGCCTTTTAGGGTCCTAAAACACATTTTGGATGTTAACAGTAAAACAAATCCGATGAGAAGGAGATATCCAAGATGGCGGCCAATATGGCCGCCAAAGTTGGTAAAAACTGGGGAGAAAAAAAAGATATATATCAGCCAAATCAAGTGATAAAAGTATAAATAAAATGGTTAATTATATGTTTTAGACTCTCAAAAACTGATTTCTGGTAGTGTTTTCCTATAATGCTTCAAATTAAAGATGGCGGCCAATTTGGTAGCTAATAAGGCCGCCATATTGGTAAAAATGAAACAAAAATCAGCCTAATAATATGATAAAATCACAAGTGAAATTGTTAGTTATATGTTTTGTACCCTCCCAAATTCATTTCTGGTATCGTGTTTTTGATATCATGCTTCAAATGCATGATAGCGGCCAATATGGCCGCCAAAATGGAAAAAACAATTGAAAAAAAAAATCATATATAGGTTTTCCCTAGTTTCATTATCATTCAATTTCGCGTGAGTTTTGCACATTATGATCAAATTTCTTTTTAATTTGGGGGGCATTAGCAGCCAAGATTTGGGGGGTGCCTTTTAGACCATATTTGCGCCCATCCTGGCCGCCATCTCGAATTCGAAGCGTGAAAGCAAAAAAAAACAGGATACCCGAAATAAAATCTGTGAGAGTCAAAAACATAATAAATTAACAATTTTATTGATGCTTTTATCACACTATTTGGCTTATGTAGGTTTTCCCGGCCAACTTCACCAATTTTTCATTCAATTTAACGCCTGGCTCGTTCAGTTTGATTTGAAATTGAAAAATCACGCAGATCGTCATTCGACAATCAAAAAGAATCATTCGATTTCACTATCCAAGCAATCTATCGCCTTTCAGCTTCACTCATCCCTGTAAAAGCTGCATTAAAAGTATTGCGTTGTTCAATCAGTTTGGTCTGAACCAGTAGTAAGTGGTTGATCGGGCATTCCTTTTCATTAATGGGCAAACTTATTTCACTTTTTGTCAAGATGTTTTAAGACTTCCTGCATGTAAAATTCTGAATTATCTCGGCGTAAATCATATCTGATGTCGTCAATCCGTAAATGGACACCTCTCTTTCTTAATTAAAGGGTCCGTGAATGATTTTTTTCCTCATGAATACATTTTGTGCAACTTACTACTACTACTCTAAAATGTATGAAAGATATTTTGACATCCTTTTTTTTTGTTAGTCTTATTGCAAGTGCACGTCATTAACATTTAAAAGTTCCATGCTTTTCAGTTGCTGTGATGTGATTTCAGGAAGACACTGTTCAGTTTAGGGGGTTTCTTTCAAATTATTCACCCAAAATTTGCTAAGAAAACACTTTTGAGAAAGGATTGCTCATTGGCTTACTGCCAAGTACTGACACAACAAAGAATCACCAAAGAAAAGAAATCGTAGCAACTTTTTTTTGTGCTGAAATAGCCCAGTAACATTAATCTTCACAAAATGACATCAAAATCTTGTTGATGCGTGAATATGGAACTTTGCATCATCATAAAAAAGGAGAAAGCACCAAAAACACCCTTCAAAATGGAAAAAAAAACATTGAGAATAAGGTTAAAATGTGACACAAAGATGTGTTTTCCAGGTTTGCATTGAACAATTTCTTTGCATGGGCGCTTTAATTAAGTGTTCGGTCAGACATACGCAAGAAAACATTTAAGAAATTACCCAAGAGAAGGGTTCCTCATCGTACAACCATTGCCATATTGTAAATTTTACAGTCGCTAAGATGTTTTGGGGAAACTCAACCTCGGAGGAAAATGGAAAAATATATCACTTAAAAAAATCTTGTTAATTTGAATGACCTCATAATGAAAGTGATTGCCCATAAACGAATAAGAAACGAAAAACATGGTACATGTAATACGTTATAAGCGCACCGACGTTTGCTAATTTGAATGCGTCAACCGTCAAAAGGTTGACATTCAGTCAAAAATCTTGGCTGCTAATGCCCCCCAAATTAAAAAGAAATTTGATTATAATGTGCAAAACTCACGCGAAATTGAATGGCTGATAATGAAACTAGGGGAAACCTATATATGATTTTTTTTTCAATTTATTTTCCCATTTTGGCGGCCATATTGGCCGCTATCATGCATTGAAGCATGATATCAAAAACACGATACCAGAAATGAATTTGGGAAGGTAAAAAAAATATAACTAACAATTTCACTTGTGATTTTATCATGTTATTAGGCTGATTTTTTTTCATTTTTACCAATATGGCGGCCTTATTAGCTACCAAATTGGCCGCCATCTTTAATTTGAAGCATTGTAGGGGGAAAAATACCAGAAATGAGTCTTTGAGAGTCTAAAACATATAATTAACCATTTTATTTATGCTTTTATCACATTATTTGGCTGATATATGTCTTCCCCCCCCCCCAGTTTTTACCAACTTTGGCGGCCATATTGGCCGCCACCGTGAATATCCCCTTCTCATCGGATTTGTTTTACTATTAACATCCAAAATGTGTTTTAGGACGCTGAAAGGCACCCCAAAAATTGGTGAAAGTTAGTTCTGGGGGTGCATGGGGGTCCCCCATACATCTATATATCTCATGGATCCGGGAACGTGCCGTGCCAGTAATTCGTGGGAACAAGTTGGTAATTCGTGGGAACGAATTAGTAATTCGTGCGAACGAATTAGTAATTCGTGCGAACGAATTAGGATTTCGTGGGAACGAACTAGGATTTCGTGGGAACGAATTAGGATTTCGTGCGAACGAATAAGGATTTCGTGCGAACGAATTAGTAATTCGTGCGAACGAATTAGGATTTCGTGCGAACGAATTAGTAATTCGTGCGAACGAATTAGTAATTCGTGCGAACGAATTAGTAATTCGTGCGAACGAATTAGGATTTCGTGGGAACGAATTAGGATTTCGTGGGAACGAATTAGTAATTCGTGGGAACGAATTAGGATTTCGTGGGAACGAATTATTAATTCGTGGGAACGAATTAGGATTTCGTGGGAACGAATTAGGATTTCGTGGGAACGAATTAGTAATTCGTGGGAACGAATTAGTAATTCGTGCGAACGAATTAGGATTTCGTGGGAACGAATTAGTAATTCGTGCGAACGAATTAGCAATTCGTGCGAACGAATTAGCAATTCGTGCGAACGAAATAGTAATTCGTGCGAACGAAATAGTAATTCGTGCGAACGAATTAGCAAATGCCCAAAAAAATTTCCACCCTGTCCCTTCCCGGGCTTCATAGTTTAGAGCTTTTGCTCAGTGTGAAAACCTGTTACTGCCATCCGATTATAACAAGTTGGTAATTCGTGGGAACGAATTAGTAATTCGTGCGAACGAATTAGTAATTCGTGCGAACGAATTAGGATTTCGTGGGAACGAACTAGGATTTCGTGGGAACGAATTAGGATTTCGTGCGAACGAATAAGGATTTCGTGCGAACGAATTAGTAATTCGTGCGAACGAATTAGGATTTCGTGCGAACGAATTAGTAATTCGTGCGAACGAATTAGTAATTCGTGCGAACGAATTAGTAATTCGTGCGAACGAATTAGGATTTCGTGGGAACGAATTAGGATTTCGTGGGAACGAATTAGTAATTCGTGGGAACGAATTAGGATTTCGTGCGAACGAATTAGTAATTCGTGCGAACGAATTAGTAATTCGTGCGAACGAATTAGTAATTCGTGCGAACGAATTAGGATTTCGTGGGAACGAATTAGGATTTCGTGGGAACGAATTAGTAATTCGTGGGAACGAATTAGGATTTCGTGGGAACGAATTATTAATTCGTGGGAACGAATTAGGATTTCGTGCGAACGAATTAGGATTTCGTGGGAACGAATTAGTAATTCGTGCGAACGAATTAGCAATTCGTGCGAACGAATTAGCAATTCGTGCGAACGAAATAGTAATTCGTGCGAACGAAATAGTAATTCGTGCGAACGAATTAGCAAATGCCCAAAAAAATTTCCACCCTGTCCCTTCCCGGGCTTCATAGTTTAGAGCTTTTGCTCAGTGTGAAAACCTGTTACTGCCATCCGATTATAACTTATAAAAAAAGTCAAATTATTATTAAAGTTTGTTCTTTTGTGAGAGAGGTACGGAGACCTCTCTGATAAATCAAGAGTGATAACAGTGTGTTTTTAGCCTGTCGTTCGACTTCAAGTTATTTTTATTTACTTTTTCTTGCTGGTGCTAACAGGCTTTCGTCATGTACCTAATGCATGTTACAGTCATCCATAAATCTAAAGATGTCGAGTAGATTCAAACACGTGAAAAATGTGTGTAAATGAAGTGTTAAGTGTGTTTAAACTCTGAACACAGTGCTCTAACATTGCATGGCATACTCTTTGTGGACTTGCAACAAAAGAGGTCCACAGGGTGCAGGAAGGGTGAACGTTTTGTGGTCTTGCCCGCCGTCACGTCCATCCACACAAGGTGTCACCCTCCCTGGAAAACAGGTGAATTAGTGGCATTTTTGGATTAGGATTA